ATAACAAGTACAGGTAAGTATACAAAGATGCGAAGTTTATAACTTTAGTGATGTATGTTTTTGTTATAGATTATGAAACTATATTTGCACGATATGAGAAGTACAAATCCATTGTTAATGATATTCTCAATCGGATCGAGAAAAGACAGTATAGATCTGTTTCTTATGATATGGTGGTGAGTTTGGATTCATTGGTCAAAGAACTTAGTGTACATCTTCTGGAACTTGGTATTGCTGAAAATACCAAATGCTTTTATGATCTTTCACTCGCAGTCACATCAGGAAAGGAGAACACTTCGAAAACAGCTGCATGGATTCAAAGTCATACTAATGACCATTGGGTTGTTTCAAATGATAGTCATTTGTTTTGTGCTTGGCGCGAGGATAAAGCATACTTCCTGGCGATTATAGATCATATTTGTTTGCAAAATGACTTTAATAAGACTTTACAGCGACTGGAAATTGTATTTTCAAAATAAATAATTCTATAGATGTTCTCAATTGTCATCGTACAAATAAAAGATGTATTCGAATTTCTTGTATGATGAAAACTTACAAGTTAATGGTTTATCCAATAGAGTGAGAGATTGTCACATGGATAAATATTTGATAAACATATATTCTCTTACTTTTTCTTTGCATATTACTTATGACTTCGGAGGGTGGGTGTGGGTGAGTGGGTGTGTGGGGGTTGATGTGAAATAGAATAACTTATATATCTTTTGATACAAATTAATCTGCTAGTTTCAACTTTTGCTTTTCAGCAATCGATCTATTGTCCAAAATAAATAATAAATTAATATGCTTATTAATAAATAAATAAATAAATGCAGATATTTGCTTCGCCGACGCGTTTCGTGTATTTATTTAAAAATAAAATAACAAAAGCTAGAATAAATATATAAACGTTGAAAGAAGAAACGTAAGAGAATGGGGGCTCTCAATATAATAGTAATATAAATTTAAGAAAAGAAATTACGAACATGTCAGACTTGTATTAGAAAGTAGGTTGTAGTATAAGTATCGATGATCAATATCTGAGATTTATTCATGAATCACGTGTTTGTACAAGACGTCGCTGTATATTGTCAGCATTGTGAGTGCCCAACATTGGTGTAATATCATTATTTGGTGATTCAGAGAAGTATTTGTTTCAAAGCTGATGAAATTTTTGAGGAAATGATTTCATACTGGAACAATAGTAAAGTGAACGAACATTGATCGACCATAATTAATTGGTTCTTTAACTTTATTTGGACTATTGATAATTTGTAAACGAATTGTATCATAATTATTCGATGTTAATAGTTGAATAATATTGAATTTTTCGAGGACACGATTAAATTGTTGATCGATAAACTTTATTGGATAGTGGTTGAGAAGTAATACCATTCGTAGATGATCACGTTCTTGTAAATAAGATTGAAACGTTGAACAATACCTAATGCCACGAAGTAACATAGTAAACGGTATGTTTTGTTTCATGCGTAATGGATGAATACTATGGAATGGCAAATAGAGGTGTAAGCCG